AAATTTCTCTGGGATGAAGAGCCATGATTGCCATGTCTTTATATGCAGCGACTACTTCCCTTTGCATTTGCGGAGCTACTACCTGCAAAAGTACATGAAGCACTTTCAGGTAATTAATATAATTAATACGACGCAAACATTAATTTATTTCTTTATATATATATGAATATACTAATGTGTTTAATTTTTTATTTTGTAATATATAAGGAACTGGAGCATTTTTTAGGTATCTGAGCACCCGCACTCTCAAAGAGTAAGTTTTCCAACAACTTCATGAAAACATCCCATCTTAATCTGCAACTTGGAGAAAATATTTCTGCCTAGTTTTTTTTGACGTCATGAAACACCTAGTTGTCCACCTCCCGTATGAGGCATTACTTCGTGGACCTGTGCATTATGGATGGATGTATCAGTATGAAAGGGCCATGAAAACTTTGAAAGGAAAAGCCAAAAACCCAGCAAAAGTTGAAGGTTCTATTGTTGCGGGAAGTTTGACGGAAGAAACATCACATTTCACATCGTATTACTTTGCACCGAAAGTACGTACAAGGAAATGAGCTCCAAAAAGATATGATGATGGTGATGTCGTGCTGACATATATGGAAGAAGATGTTCCAGACATCTTTTGTCAAATTGGGCGATTGGGTGGAAAATTGAAAGAGGTTTGGTGGTCAAGTGATGAAGATGTCCATAGTGCACACCTTTATATTCTTCTCAATTGCGAGCATCCATTGATTGGTTATTTTGAAAGGTAAACATATAAAGATACACACTTATATATATATTCAATTGATTAAATAACATAACATAATTTTACAGCCAATTTGTGACTCAAGTCGAAGAAGCAATCTCTGGTATATCGACAACTGAGTTAGAAAAAAGGAAAGACAAACACTTTATCAAGTAGTTGAGGAAACATGTATTATAACTTAAATTTTATGCATACATTACCCCATACTAAGTCTAACGTCTAGTTCTATTATTTTTTTGCAGGTTGATTATGACGATCATGAATATCCTGCATGGTTTCGCGAATTAATTCAATGTCCAGTTGCAAAGGTCACTACATCATCGATGTATTTCACCCGAGGCAATACTTTTCATACATATGACTATGGTAGACACCAGGCGACAAGTAATTATGGAATATGTGTGAATGGTGAAACAGATTTCTACGGGATCTTGCAAGAGATTTATGAAGTTCAATTCTCAGGTATGAGTTTGAAATGCGTTATCTTCAAGTGTGAGTGGTACGACCCCGTCGTCAACAGAGGTGTTCGGATTAACAAGAACGGTGTAGTTGATGTCAATGGTGGAAGAAGTTACAAAAAATTCTTTTTTGAGATACATGTTCTGAGTACTAATTTCTATGTTGTCTTTATTTTTGCAGGTACAACAAATTTGAACCTTTCATATTAGCTTCCCAAGCAGATCAAGTTTGCTTCATTCCATACCCTCGGATAACTACCTCGAGAATAAATTGGTTAGCTGTTATCAAAGTTACACCTTGAGGACGAATAGTCGCTGGAGAAGAACCACCACTACAAGAAGAAAACACCAATGAAATCGAGGAACCTGAAGCAGAAATTGATGACATCCTACTCATTGATCCGCATAATCGTGAATACGAAGATGTTCTTGATCACTCAACGGACGAAGGTGTCGAGGACAAGTTTTACGAAAATGATGATGTTTCTATAGATTCTGAGAATGTATCAGAATGAATTATGTATGTTTAATCAAAAAATGAATTTGAATTATGTATGTTATAAGTTTGTTTAATCAAAAAAAATGAATTTGGGGTTTAGGTGTAGAAGAGGTTTGGAGTTTAGTTGTAGAAGAGGTTATAAGTTAAGGAAGTTGTGGTTTGGTGTTTGGGGTTTTAAGTTTAGGGATTTACAAACCCTTTCCTCGTAAAACCCTAGTAACAGAAAACGCGGGACTCGCGATTTCCTCGTAAAGTTCACGTAGGCTGTTTCCTCGTAAAGTCCATGTAAGCATGTTACTAGGACTTTACGAGGAAACCTAAATGCAGGACTCGCTGTTTCCTCGTAAAGTCCTCGAAAAGAGAAACGCGGGACTCGCTATTTTCTCGTAAAATTACGAGGACCTTACGAGGAAACAAATTCCTTATATAAACTCGAGCCATCCGATTTCTCTCATTTGTAGCAATCTTCTCTCAAAATCCTCTTAAGGTACTCTCTAATTCCTAGTTAAGTGATTAGATTAGGGAATTTAGATTAGGTGGTTAGTTTAGGGAATTTAGATTAGGTGGTAAGTTTAGGGAATTTAGATTAGATAATTAAATGTGTTTTTAAATGATACTATTATATTTATGCTTTCTTTTTATTTTTAAAATTTAGATGCCTAGACAGAGCAAGCTTAATGCTAGGAAGACGAGGCCGCTTCTTGACAGATTCATTACAAAGATTTATTTGGTCGTCAGCTTGGTCTTCATACAGGCGCATGATCTTTTTCGGCTCCCGGTTTTTTGATTCCGGATGACGCTGTTCCGGAGTCTCAGTTTTCTCAGAGAGTTTCTCCGGTTATCCGGTTTGATCCACTACCTCCTCCTCCACCCCCTCCTCCTCCACCGGCCGCCGGGGTTCATCCCGATTTGGAGGTGCCGCCAAACGCTCCATTTTCGGCATACACTGTCGAGGATATTATGACAACGCCATATAGAGAAGGGTTACTTAAGTTAGATCCTTTCTGACGGGACGACCACAACATATTTTGATATGTTTCATTCTAAAAAAAATGTTTTTTAATTTATTTCTTCATTAACAAAAAATTAAAAAAATTAATTAATATTTTTCTTTTGTTTTTGGTTCAGGTTTAATGTTGACGAGTATGTCGCTCAGAGCGTCACCGATTGTATCAAGGGATACTTTCCCGAACTAGCTCCAAACTGGAAAAAGACAGCCTGCCACACCAAAAAGATGTGGTTCAAAAATCGTTCGCCGTAAGTCATTAATAAACTTAATTCATTTTTTAATTATTTAAAAATTTTAATATTTTTGGACTAATTAGTCTAAAGTTTTCTGGTTATAGCAAAAGTATCGTTGGTCCATAGGGATTCACCAGCAGGTGAAGAATGATTTTGAGGCGAAGGCAAAAGCGCGATTGCTCGACATGGTCTACAACTGGAAAGGCGATTTTCAGGTGGATTTATAAATTTTATATAGTTTATATCATTGACTTCAAATAATTTAAAAAAAAAAAAAATTTCAGGTGGATGGTTACGAGGAGGGGAAACCCAATTGCCTCACATTTGCGGTGTGGGATGGCCTCATCAGATATTGGGGGTTGCCGGACTCGGTCAGAACCTCCCACACCAACTCCGAGAACCGCATGACAAGAGACGGGCATGGCAACACGAAGATGCTTCACACCAGAGGTCAAAAACCTCACGCGGGAATCCGTCTAGACATGGTAAATTAATTTTTTAATAACTAATTAATATTTTTTTAATCTATTTGTGTATTCCTAATTAATATATAATTTTAAAAATTATTTTTAGGCTAAAGAGACATGAGTTCTTACATCTCTGAAAGACCTTTACGATAGGACCCACCAGAACAAGGCTATGCATTTTGTAGATCCTAGATCCGAGCGGATCTACAACGAGGTTGTTGCTCGGGTTGACCACCGCCAGACTCAGCTGACTCAGCAGTCTGGGACACCCGTCATATTTTCCACTCCTGAAGTGGATAAGATTTACGAGGAAGTAAATAATTTCTTTTCTTATTAATTTTTATTACTTATTTAATTTATTTTTTAACGTTATTAATCTTTTTAATTAAAGGTCTCCCCTAGGAAAAAGAGACGTATCGTCGGGATTGGTTCTGTTAACGATGTTCCCACAGCGACATCGTCGTATGCTCAGGAACAGCACGATGTCACTACTCAGCTTTGCTCAAAGTTGCATGCGACGCAAGCTCACGTGATTTCTCTCTCCGATATCCTGGACGTTTTGGCGCTTGGAAATCCGCAATTGGCGGAGATGTTGCGTGTCAGACGGGAAGACGGAGGGCTACCAACCCAACAACATCCACCGCCACAGTCACAACCGACGACAAACATGGACGAGGAGGAATTGGCAAGCCAAGATGACGATTTCGTTCGTCAGTTTAACGAGCACCATCCGTAGTTTAGTTTTTTTCTTTTTAATTGTATATAATATGAATTTAAAACTTAAATATTTTGTTATTTATAAATTATTTTGTTATTTCTTTTTTTATTTATAATTTGGATTTTACTTTTTTAAAAATATATTATTTATATTTATTTTATTTATTATTTTTTAATAGAAAAATATTTCGAAGTAAATTCCTAGTAAAGCATTACGACTCTCTTACGAGGAAATGTTTTACCACGAATTTACGAGGACTTATTTTCGAGGCCTTTACGAGGAAAGTTGTACGAGGACTTTACGAGGAAATGCGTATCCATGCTTTTACAAGGAAAAGTTTCCTCGTAATTTTACTAGGAAATTATGAGGAAAAAGGATTTACTATGAACGTGTTACGACAAGACGTCTTTCCTCGTAATTTCCTAATAAAGGCCCATTTACTAGGAAATTACGAGGAAAACTCGTTCTAGCAAAACTTATGTTTTCTTGTAGTGACAATTCTGTTTTTTGTTTAGTCATAAAAGTATGTTTGTAATTTCACTAGCCTTTTGAACTAATTTTGCATTTGATTTGAATTTGAGTACATTTTTCCATTTAAAATCAAATCTTGAATTTTATTTGGCAAATCCCCGATAAATATCTAGTGGTGGGTCATTAATTTCTCAAAGGAAAAGTAAACATCATGGTCCATTTTTACTGTATCGATAAATTGATATTGGAAGGACAATTGTAGCCCTCCACTTGGGACCGCCATTACCGAGCATGGCACACAAGATCACTATATATATCTACACGGAGGATCTTATCACTCACACTACCAAAACCTCAAAAGTTAGCGTTGGGGATCATCAAAGCTTCTTGTACCATGGATCCTTACAAGGTATCTTCATGTTCTTCTTGTCTTGTGTGTGTGTGTGTGCGCGTGTTAAAAGTTAAAACATTCATGTCTCGTTATGGTTGATTTTTCACTGGTTTTAATGATACAGTGAAAGTTAAACTGGATTGATACTCTTAGAACTTAGCTTTAACTTGCTTTTTTTTTTCCAAAAGTTGATTAGCTTCTATGATTGCTTGAGCTATATAAGGTGGTGATGTTAATTTTCTTGGCTGGCTATCTTTAAAACGTTTGATCTATAAACAGACCAGTACGTGAAGAACGCCACATTTGGTTTGTTGTTTTGTTGGTTGTGTTTTTGTATTAAACACACGTGTTCTAAAAAGGGTGTTTAGTCGATTGTTTAGACGTCCAGCCGTATGTTAATTTACTGGTTTTAGCCAAACCAGGTAGAATTAATTAAACAATTATATGATTTATCAGATCTACACACAAAATCTACACGATAGAATAATCAAATTATAAAATATCTGACTATAACTAGATCCAAACATACGAGTAAGCATTTTTATACGTATGACGGTCAATATTCAATTTTGTAAGTCAAGTATTTTTTTGGCCAAACGAATACACTCATCTCTGACCACCCGATGGTCCCGATTAGCACCTATATAGTATGAAATGTTTATTTTAACATAAGGATTATTGTATCTGTTTAACAATTAAAAGTGGAAATAGATCATCAAAGAAGACTTGAACTAGTTTTTCGATCCGCGGTTAAAAAACTGGATACCGTTTTTGTTGTTTTATCTACAAAATCTTTTGATTTGATGATATAAAATATAACTATGTAATATAACTTTAAAAAAAATGATGCAGATTTTAATTTATTGTTATTATCAATATCTATGTAAATATATTGTATGTAATTGTGTAGTTTTATAATGTAAAATAATATCAATTAACTACGCTTAGTGATGGGAAGCGGGTCAAACTCGCTCCACCCAACCCACAAAAAAAATATATTTTATCTGCATCCGTTCCACTTAATTTTGCGGGTAATTTGCGAGATCCGCGAATAGTTATTAAATAATAAAAAATATTATTTTTTAATTTTTTAAAAAAATAATATTAAATAGTATTAAATTTTTAATATTTAAAAAAAATAGAATTATTTTTAACGAAATTTAGTGTATTTTTGCAAAATAAACTTAAAAAAAATTCTATTTTTGTGGATTACTGGATACCCGGTATTAAAATTAGAAAAACCGGCATCCTTCCCGCATAAAATACACTTGATCCGCATTCGCACCCGCAACTTAAAAAATTTCAAATCGATCGACATGTTCCGTGGTGGGTCAAACCCACAGGCTAATATCAAAATTCATGCTCTAACTACGCCAATTAAAGCTGATGTGTTTATTTTTGAAAGAAAATTCATAAATAATTAAAAAGTGAATTTAGCCCATTAATAAAACCATTATTATATTGTTTTTAGGTCCAAAAACCAAAAAAACCATATTACCATTAATGAAAATAAAAATTTGTTCAAAACATTAAGGATAATTTTGAAAAACATAAAAACTCATTGTTTTTGAATAAATATTAAATATAGAAAGCCCTCTTTCTCAATCAACGGTCCTATCATTTTGTTTTTGTTCAGATCCATCATAAAATTTGAGTTTGGGATTGTGAATTAAAAAACGCGGTTAATAGAAAATGATATCTTCCAACTGAAGTTAGGGTTTTCATGGATGCGTGCTGTTCGTGTTGTCATCTAATCATTCCTTTTTTCCTGATAAACAAGTGAACTATGGTGCTTGCAGTATCGGCCATCGAGCGCGTACAACACTTCATTCTACACCACAAACGGTGGTGCTCCAGTCTCAAACAACATCTCTTCCCTCACCATCGGAGAAAGAGGTATATCGCGAAACTCTAACCCTATACTTTACAAAGCTACGAAAGATATTTAAAAACTGAGAGAAAGAGTTTAAAGCTAGGATCTTGTGAACGGGAGTGTGATGGGTTTTCTAATACTATGTTACTTTGGTTTATGAGCAGGTCCGGTTCTTCTTGAGGACTACCATCTAATCGAAAAGGTCGCTAATTTCACCAGAGAGAGGATTCCAGAGAGAGTGGTTCACGCCAGAGGAATCAGCGCTAAGGGTTTCTTTGAGGTCACACATGACATTTCAAACCTCACTTGTGCTGACTTCCTCAGAGCTCCTGGTGTTCAAACTCCAGTCATTGTCCGTTTCTCCACCGTCGTTCACGAGCGTGCCAGCCCTGAAACCATGAGGGATATTCGTGGGTTTGCCGTCAAGTTTTACACCAGAGAGGTAAAAGATTCCTGTTTCTATGTAGTTGACCATTAGGCGAATTAATGTGAGAATTCTCAAATAATATTACGTTTTATGCATGCCGGACCGGTCAGACCGAACTGGTCCGACCGTGATTTGGTGAAGAAGCCAAGTTTGGTTTGGTGTAAAACCCATATTTGAGAGAAAAACAATAAAACCAACAAAAAAAATCTGTAAAACTGGTGATCCGGGTCAACTTTAAAACCCGGTTCTAAAATTAACATATAAATGATGTGTTTTCAATTGTTAATAAAATTTAATATTACATAATCAATGTTTGACGCTTAATATTTATTTGATAATTTATTTAATTCTATTTTCTTAAGAAATAATGTAACAAATATATTTTGGCTTATATATATTATTATTTTTGACATATTTTTAAAATCTGCAACTTTAATTGTAAAGCTAAATAAATACGATAATTTGAGTATTCAATTGTTTAGTTTTTATCAACTTTAATTTTACATAGTATTCACTTATTTATTATAATAGATAAATAAATTTAGAGAAAATGATTAAAATAGCACTAAAAAAGTTTTTGTCACAAATATAGCACTTAAGAATAAAAATGACCAAAATAGCACATAAATGTTTTATTAAATATACATTTTTACCCCTTGGGTTAAATAATCTTAATTTTTTTGTTTAGAGTTGAAAAGTGGGGTTTTAGGGATAGGGTTTCAAATTTTTTAAAAAAAAAAAAAAACTTAAAATTTTCAAAATAAAAAGTGCTATTTTGGTCATTTTAATTTTTGAGGTCTATTTTTGTGATAAAAACTTGAAAGAGGACTATTTAAGAGAATTGCCCATAAATTTATGTGTATTATTTATTTTTCTAGTTAATAAAGGAGAAAAGGAAATATATTATATGTAGAATTATTTTTAGGCCTATATAATGTAAATATATGGTTATATATATATATATATTTAAGTTTTTTGTGAAATCGAAAACTCGGCTTGACCTTGAACCGGTTCAACCAGTTAGGTAAGTCGATATCCGGTCCGGTTTTCGAAACTTTTTATGTTATTGTTATTCTCTAAATTTGTTACTCATGCATGTCTTGCTGCTGCTATTCAGGGAAACTTTGATCTTGTTGGTAACAACACTCCGGTGTTCTTCATCCGTGACGGGATTCAGTTCCCGGATGTTGTCCACGCCCTGAAACCGAACCCGAAGACAAACATCCAAGAGTACTGGAGGATCCTGGACTACATGTCCCACTTACCAGAGAGTTTACTCACATGGTGCTGGATGTTTGATGATGTTGGTATCCCACAAGACTACAGACACATGGAAGGTTTCGGTGTCCACACCTACACTCTAGTTTCCAAATCCGGAAAAGTTCTCTTCGTCAAGTTCCATTGGAAACCCACTTGTGGGATCAAGAATCTGACTGATGAAGAGGCTAAAGTAGTTGGAGGAGCCAATCACAGCCACGCAACTAAAGATCTCCATGATGCTATTGCATCTGGTAACTATCCTGAGTGGAAGCTATTCATTCAGACTATGGATCCTGCTGATGAGGATAAGTTTGATTTTGACCCGCTTGATGTGACCAAGATCTGGCCTGAAGATATCTTGCCTTTGCAACCAGTTGGTCGCTTGGTTCTGAACAGAACCATTGATAACTTCTTTAATGAAACTGAGCAGCTTGCTTTCAACCCTGGTCTTGTGGTTCCTGGAATTTACTACTCAGATGATAAGCTGCTCCAGTGTAGGATCTTTGCTTATGGTGACACTCAGAGACATCGTCTTGGACCTAATTATATGCAGTTACCGGTTAATGCTCCAAAATGTGCTCACCACAACAATCACCATGAAGGTTTTATGAACTTCATGCATAGAGATGAGGAAGTAAGTCTTAGTATACCACAACTTGAGCTGAACTTGTTGGTTTTTTAACTTGAAAATCGAAATATTTATGGGGTGTTTTCTTTTTGCAGATCAATTATTATCCCTCAAAGTTTGATCCTGTCCGCTGCGCAGAAAAAGTTCCTATCCCTAACAAATCTTACACTGGAATCAGAACAAAGGTTTGTTATACACGCCATGTTCAAAACATTATCTCATTTTAGTTGAATTGTGTTCTAAAATGGCCTTTGCATTGCTTATGTGTTTGCAGTGTATCATTAAGAAGGAGAACAACTTCAAGCAACCTGGAGATAGATACAGATCATGGGCACCAGACAGGTAAGAAAAGAAGTCTCAACTCTCTTACATAACTCTCACAGAAACTCATTTAATAAAAGCTTAATTACTAAAACATTTTCATGTTTACTATGGTCACAGGCAAGACCGGTTTGTTAAGAGATGGGTTGAGATTTTGTCAGAGCCACGTCTCACTCATGAGATCCGTAGCATCTGGATCTCTTACTGGTCTCAGGTCAGGACAAGAAAACATGAAATCTCTGCTTATTTTTTGGTGGAATTTTAGCTAAACTAAACATTCTTAATCTATTTTTTACTCAGGCTGATCGATCTTTGGGACAGAAGCTTGCAAGCCGTCTCAACGTTAGGCCAAGCATCTAATCTTCATATTTGCTTGTCGTCTGAAAAGTACAATCGTGATCGATCTATCATCTGTTGGTCGTTAAATTCCTCAAAAAAAATATTATTTCTTTGGGTTATTATTTCGTCTATGTATAATAATGATGCATGTAAACCGATGTTTCCTTCATGTTTTACTGTCACTCTCTTTGTAATTTCTTAAGAATAAATCAACGTTTCTTGAAGCAGTAAATAGCTTATTATATATAGTGGACAAGTGATAATAAGATGTTTTATTTTGAAGGATAATCATGAAATGAAAACAAAAGCTTGACTAATTATAGGCTTATATAGCTAAAGCGATATAACCCACACGTCGTTAAATGGTTGGGCTACTAAATCGAGAAAAGAGTCATTGTGGGACAATCACGTGGTCTCCACACGACCGTTTCTAGAGATATTGTCTCATTTTTTCTCGCGGTGGGCTAAAAATAAGATACTGTTTGATCGATATAAAAACGTGTTGGAAAACAGTGACGGAGGAGGGACACACGCCGATAACGTAGTAACAACAATACATATTACACAACAAGAAGTAAAGTTCGGATCAAATCAGTCTTTTTGCAACATGGATCCTGATAGGGTACTACATTTAATCAATTCTATTGTAAATGTTTGGAAATGTTCATATTGAAGTATATTCAAAAAAAGAGAGAAAAATGTTCATATTGAAGAATACTTGAATATGGTTGATTTATCATAATATACTTTTGTGGTGGTACTGTCATGTATTAGGAAGCATCATCATTTGCCAAGATATTTCACCAATTACATTTTGTCTTCTGATGATGATGGATAAATTGTTTGGTGCAGGTACGTCCTTCAAGCGCTCATGATTCGCCCTTCTTCACTACAAACTCTGGTGCTCCCGTCTGGAACAACAACGCCTCTTTGACTGTTGGACCCAGAGGTGCCCTGTTTTAACTTTTTTATATATAGAAACTATGGTTCCTATGCCAAATTTTTATATATTTTAAAATTAATAAAATGAAATTATATTTAGATTTCTAATTATTTGAAGATAAATTTTTCAAGATAAATCTAATTTTTTTTTGTCACAAATATAGACTTTAAAAATAAAAATGACCAAAATAGACTTAAATGTTTTATCAAAATAAGTAAATATACACTTATACCCTTTCGTTAACTAATTTTACGTTTTTTTAGAGTTGAGGAATGGATTTTGGGGATAGGATTTCAAATTTTTAAAAATAAAAAAGCTTAAAATTTTTAAAATAAAAAATGTTATTTTAGTTATTTTAGTTTTTGAGATCTATTTTTGTGATAAAAATTTTAAAAAATCTATTTGAAAGATATATATTTACGTGCATGACGCAAGAAACCAACTAATATATATATATATATATATATATATATATATACTATAGAAAGTTAGAAACTATGGTTTATATGCCAAATTTTATGTTATTTCTTAATGTTTTTTCTCTTAGCTCGTTTGGTTTGATATGTGAGGCTATGGTTTTTATATCTTTCAGGTCCAGTCCTTCTGGAAGACTATCATCTGATCGAGAAACTAGCCAACTTTGACAGGGAAAGGATTCCTGAGAGGGTTGTTCATGCCAGAGGTGCCAGTGCCAAAGGTTTCTTTGAAGTCACTCATGACATTTCAAACCTTTCTTGTGCTGATTTTCTTCGAGGTCCTGGTGTTCAGACTCCTGTCATTGCTCGTTTCTCTACTGTCATCCATGAGCGTGGCAGCCCCGAGACTCTCAGAGACCCTCGTGGTTTCGCCGTCAAGTTTTACACCAGAGAAGGGAACTTGGATCTTGTTGGAAACAACTTCCCTGTCTTCTTTGTCCGAGATGGAATGAAGTTCCCTGACATGGTCCATGCGCTGAAACCAAATCCCAAGACTCACATTCAGGAGAACTGGAGGATACTTGACTTCTTCTCGCACCACCCTGAGAGTCTTCACATGTTTTCATTCCTCTTTGACGATGTTGGTATCCCACAGGACTACAGGCACATGGATGGCTTTGGTGTCAACACTTATGTCCTAATCAACAAAGCTGGAAAAGCTCACTACGTGAAGTTTCACTGGAAACCCACTTGTCCGGTTAAATGCTTGTCTGATGAGGAAGCTATTAGAGTTGGAGGAACCAATCACAGCCATGCAACTAAGGATCTCTATGACTCCATCGCAGCTGGGAGCTTTCCAGAGTGGCATATGTTCATTCAAGTGATAGATCCTGACCATGAAGACAGATTTGATTTTGATCCGCTTGATGTCACAAAGATCTGGCCTGAAGATATCTTGCCCTTGCAACCTGTTGGCCGCTTGGTTTTGAACAAGAACATTGACAACTTCTTTAATGAGAATGAGCAGCTTGCTTTCTGCCCTGCTATTGTTGTCCCTGGCTTCCATTATTCAGATGATAAGCTACTCCAGAGCAGGATCTTCTCTTATTCTGATAGTCAGAGACACCGTCTAGGACCAAATTATTTGCAACTACCTGTTAATGCTCCTAAATGTGCTCACCACAACAATCACCATGAGGGTTTCATGAACTTCATGCACAGAGATGAGGAGGTAAGGCCATTTGCATTGGAAGTCTCTCAAAAATTTGAAATACTTTTCTATTAAAATGATATTATATATGTTTGGTATTATAGAAAACTTCCAATGTAGATGCTCTAATCAACTCTTTCAAATGCTTATTCCAGGTTAATTACTTTCCTTCAAGGTTGAACCCGGTCCGCCATGCTGAAAAATACCCTCAAAATCCTATTAAATGCTCTGGAAACCGTGAGAAGGTCATATTCTTATCCATGCATTTACGTATACATAAAGGAAGTCATATAACAAAAGTTTCAACATTCATTAAAATGTTTTTATACTGTTCTTGTATATGACAGTGCATGATTGAGAAGGAGAACAACTTCAAGCAGCCAGGGGAAAGATACAGGTCCTGGGATGCAGACAGGCAAGAGCGGTTCGTGAAGCGTTTTGTTGATGCACTTGCTGAGCCTCGTGTGACCCATGAAATCCGCAGCATTTGGATCTCTAATTGGACTAAGGCAGACGAATCTCTTGGACAGAAACTAGCCCTTCGTCTTAAAGTGAGCCCAAACTTCTGAATCGTATCATGGCTAGTAAAGCCCTCGAAAACATGCTATTCTTACGTTTTGGTTTCCATGTAATATTTTTTGGTAATAGTAAATACATTAAAATAAGACAGTGATGAAACTCTTGTAACAGGGGACTTAATTCACTTACATAGCTAAGATATTCAAAATAAGTTTTTTCAGCTATAGAATATTATAATTTTGATATATTTTTAAAGCAATTTATAAGCTAACAAAATGGTTGTGATTTTTTTTTTTTATATTTTCCAACTTTTATTCTTTGAAATTTCTTTTGTTATTATGAGACATTCAACGAGCAATTCTACGCTGAAGATGCTTTAGTTTCTGTTTTGTAATCTTCTCTTCACAAGATCAACAAATATTAACAAATATTTGTGTACGGCAAATAATAAGAAGGTGTTTGGATTATATTATAGTTTTTACAAGATATATAATCCGTTGGGGTACTGTAAATGGGTTTATTTGTTTATATATTGCTATCGATTTAGTGTGTTTATTAATTATTCCAGATTTGCATCTATGACGTGAGCTTATAGTTGGAATATTATTGTGGTATAAAGTCAGACGCACGATCATGATTTAAAACAAAAGTTTTCTCAAGTCTGTCCATATTATAGTCATCACGTCGGAACTTTTAATTGGTCATTGTTATGATGCAAGATCGCATATTACAATTTACAAAACTATTATGTAAGTGGGGAGGTGTGGGGTACTTAATTATTCCGTTGCTAGTGGAAATCAAAAAGAAAAATGAAATCAGACGATTTTAATTGTATTTTATACTGTTAAACAACTTGGGCTAAACTTTAATTAGCTAATACAGTCTGACTAATCTGATGTCTCGGCCATTACTTTTTGTCTCGAAAAGAAGCTCAGCTCAAATCAGGTATCAGCACATGGTTCCACAAAAAACCTTTTTTAAAAACTTAGCCACCAATTATTATCACTTTCATGTATTCTTTGAAGTATTGAGATACAAGTATAACTGCAATGTCTCAGTTATTAAAAAAACATATATATCCTCCAGATTCCGTCTTAACATATGCGTAGAGGTTAGACATTTATTCAACATTGTGGATTTAAAATAACCTAGCTAAAATTTTAGTTTTAGATATCTTAATAATGAGTTTGAGTCATCCATTTTCTTGTGATTTAAGTTGTAAGGACTTGTTTTTCTTTGTAACAAAAAGTTCTAAATCTATATTATCTTCACGTCTGATACCATAATATACCACGTTACGTTAGTACCTTCTCTGCTGTAGCAGGTATTCTAACTCCTATATTTGGATAACCAACTAGTACAACATTACCTGCCAACACCTAATAAGTATGTGTTTGGAGTACTAGTTAACCGGTTAGAGTGTATATAGTCAGTCATCTTTATTTAGGTCTAGAATTTAAATAGTAAATATACCATTGGTGTTTTAAAATAGTTTTCAATTTCACAAAAGAAAAAAAAACTTATTAAGTTGTAGTGTACCAAATTCTAGATCGAAGTTGCGCATCTTCAGAGATTGTTTAATCATCCAATGAGATGGTATTGTGAATTGTGTTTGTGAGTGGTCCAAAAATTGTATGTATTTAAAATTCAGAAGAGTTTAATTAAGGGAATAAGCCAGAAGAAACTAACGTGTTTTGGTTGTCGTTAACAAGATCTCGGATCCATTTTTAGGAAAGTCAAAATCTTGATGACGAAATCAAGGAGACATTACTTTGATTGCATGTGACGGAACTGCTGTAAAATATCTAAGTCTTGAGGTGTATAACGCAGAGTATAATTTCGTGGGCCTGGTCTACTAGGTCTACGTACCAACCAATGTACTCAACAGATAAAAAATCGTTCTCCGTACCAAATAAAAAGAAGAATAAAGGTTTTTATACCTAACTAACGTGCAACAAATTATCACAATTATTTGAGATGTGAGTGAGTGATTCGGCCCTTATAATGATTCGTTTGTCTACAGTTTTCCTTGCACTAAATGTTCTTTTCTTTTGCACTATATCAATGTCCCAAGTTTTAAGTAATTTTCTATACGTTTCCCTACGATATGAAATGAGATTCTATTCTCCCGGATAATAATTTTAAACTACGTAATCAGAATCTTTTTTGTTTTTTTTTTGTATTTTCAAAGTTTAATTTTCTTTTTCATTATCCCAAATCAGTTTGATTTCCTAGCAAATCTATAGTTATTTATGTAGTATTATTTTATTCTTAGTTCATTTGACTGTCTTTTGTTGGAGACTACTTATTGGCTGTTTTATGCATTGTATACAATTTAAATTATAAGTAATGCCAGATTCCAATTTGATAGCTTGGAACTCGAATCTCGACAGCTTAAAGGAAATAATCAAAGAATCATGTTGGATGCAGTCATAATTTGTTTTCATGCCAATGTGGTCATTATTAAAAATTTAACCATCATGGTATCTGTTTTTCATCTTCCAACACAGTTCATACATACATATCTTTAACCATATTTAAATTTAGACACCACAAATTAATTTGATATATAAGGTACAAAATCAAGAGCATTCTTCCATAGAGAAAAAGAGAGGGATTGTCTTTGTCTCCGGAATCTTCACAATGGAGGAATATATTACATATGGGAAGATTGTTTGCATTTTTATTTCTTCAAATTAAATTAAATTTTTTTAATGCTGGCGACTTATCATTCTCATAAAATATATTTTGCTTTCACATATAGGACACTCTATCTAGTCAGATAGAGAGTTAAGTTGGCCATAATAAAACTGAAAAGATGATTTTAAACCACATGTACTACTTGAATTTTCTTATAATTTGGAATATACGAAATGTTGGTCATGACTCATTAGCTTTATTGTTAGATCAAGTTACAATTTCTATTTTTCAGTGAAGAAATAAATATTTTTGAATATCCGGAGAGATAATCCATTCATGGAATACATTTTCCCTTTGAATTTAATCTAAACTATTTATATATATTTGGGATATCCCTAAATTAATCAAAACAAATATCTAAAATAAAATTAAAATCACAGAATAAATAAATAAAAACAAAAAATGTGGCTATATTATTTTTGATAAACCAGCAATTAAATAGCTCCGGTTATAAATATTTACAACTATATATTTCATATTCATGTTCAAATCCAATATATTTTATAGTTGGACCCATAAATAAAATATGTACAGTGTGAAACAATTTAATATATTGACAAAAGGGAGAAATAGTTTGATGGAATTTAGAAGAGATAGTTAATATATGTGGAGTGTGTCTAGTTGGGAGTATGTGAGCAAAGCCTCCCAAGTGGAGGAAAGCTAAGTCATGCACCACTTGTTTCGCCTTTTTAGCTTACGCTATCTCTTTGTGTTAGATAGAAAGTAGAAACTCTTACGTGTTAATACGTATCTCTTTCTGTATAATAATCGGTGCGTATACGTATTACTTCTATAAATAGTATTGTACGTACTGAATAGCTGACCCCAGAAAACTACACTTTCTCTTCTAAAAAAAAACTACACTTCCACATAACGTAACACAACCATGACATTATACAAGATAAGGTAATAAGGATTAATGAATGGCTCAATAGATTTGGCTCAACCAATCAAAACATCTTTAGTATTTGTTAAGAGTAGTGTTGCCTAACAAAAAGTTAGTAGTTTTCTATTATATTTCAGCGGTGGAATCTATAGATTCACGAGGCGAAAACGGTGTTGGTTACACAATTATACTCTGCACTATATGAGACTCTTTTGTTTTACAAACTATTTTATATTGTCAAATTTGATAAGAAAACTATATTCTTTAAACCAAGTGGAAGGACGAACCTACTCCCTCACTTAATTCTTTTTATTTACTTAATTTATTATATTTCTGCATAGAAGCCTTTTAGATTCTTTGATTTTCTGTAGTTATAAAACAAATAAGTTATAGCAACATGTAACAAAAATGTGATATTTCGATGGACCAACACAAACAATAACAATTGTTAACATGTCTTCATTTAGCAACAAGGGTCTAAAAATGGAAATTAATGCGCTTTGGTCATCATCCACCACGATAAAATGTTGAAGAAGAATCACTCTCCAAATATATAAACTTTTGAATAAATTGGCGATATCAGATATGGTATATTTTAAAGATACGTGCAGCCATTATATTTGAAATTTTCAAAAGAAAATAGAATCTTATTCTACCACTAATTGAATTAAACAAATATCATAAAAACAAACAATCTAGTTTATCTTTAGTCAGCGGGTTAAAAAAATAGTCTAATAATAAAGAAAATAAAATGCCTTTACTATTTCACTCATGGTTGCTGTTGTTATTGGTGTCAAATCAAATGTATATTATTCCAAATAAAATCTACTTTTGTTAAACATCATATATTCATATGATTATCGGCGTTTATTTCTGATTCTCTCTACGTGACGTTTGCTAAACAAAAATAGAGTTCTGACTTTTCTACATATATAGAAATTCACTGCACAGAACATGTTATTGCTTTGTTTTGTTTATTCCGTAGTCTCTCTCTCTAGAAAGTGGGAGAATCTTCTCTCTCTTAGAAACCAAAGCAGCCAGATTAGAGAGAGTTGATGTTCTGTAAATGTAAATGTGAATGGGTTTTGACTAAAGCCCATATTCGTCATGGGCCTTTACACTTGGTGAATTTGTGCTGGACTAGAATCAGCCCTAAAGCCCACTGCAGTATACTTCACCCTACAATCATATATATAACATGAGTGAGTATGTATGATCAGGTTACGGCAGCAAATAGGAAACATCAGGGTTTACAGCAACTGGGATCAGATCAGGATATTAAGCAAGAGACAACAATACAAGATACATAGCTTAGGCTTAAGTCTATTTATCTAAGGGCTTTGTTGTGTTTCTCTAGCTTGGAGTGTTTGATTCGTTGTAAACAATCTAGCTCACTATTTGGTGGTGCTAGTGTCTCTTTGATCTAGTGAAGTTTGGGAGCAGGAGTTCTCCCACGAGACGTAC